GAGTGAGTGAGTTTCCACTCACTCAGAGCGCTCTTATACACAACGCTTAATGTAACACAGTATACTCCTATATACCAATTGCGATGTACACAAGTGAGTTGCTTTGTGTAAAACATTGAGTGAATGATTGAGTGGTTGTGAGTGACTGGTTGAGTTGGTTGTGAGTGAGTAGCTGCTCGCCCACAGCTACTACGATGTGAGCGAGGGTTCGCTCTTGAACATTCATGTATGTGCACAACAGCACACGAGCAACGCATTGCTCATTTAAAAGAGTGATGAAATGCTCTGAGTGAGCATTTTTCGATCACTGTATTTCGGTTATTTTCTATAGAAATATATTCGTTTCATAACGAATTAAATGATATGATTTAATTCGGAATTGTGTAGTAGTTATTTCGTCTAGTACGTAGGAGTAAATTCCGTAGGAGTTAGTTCACAGTGCCCGAAAATTTCAACTGAACAATTTCATTCATAGCAAACAATCAGAACATTTTCAATTCAATAAAAGGTTCGCACAACTAATACGAATTTGTATCATTTTATTCACGACTAGTGACATCTCGATGAGTGTAATCCGCAGCTTTTGACACTTCATTTGCTTATTCACTACACAGAAACGTTGACAAAAGACGACTGCTTGTGCAATTTGCATACACTTTCCGTACGTATGATTCATCGATTTGCACTCACACATTTGCAGGCACTATATTCACCGCGTCGTCACTGACATTGTGAACGAAATTTCTTTTCATCGGTGACATTCGTGGCGAACACAAGTTTAACAGCCACGCTATTGCTAGTGCGGAAATTTTTCATTCACAAGTTGTAAATGTCCATTCAATAGAATTAGAATCAGATTTTTTTTGTATGAGCTTAATACAATTCCAACCACTTTTGACATCAATAACAATTCGAATCGTAAAATAAAACGAATTACATACGTAATCCAAACTTTTCCGCTCCGCAGCAATTTAGTTTACCTTTTAGACCCTTTTTCATAGCATTTTTGACCTTAAAATATAACTATTTCGACCATTTTCCATACAAAAGTGTCATTTTCGAACAAAATTTCAAAAATTTCAAGAAATGTTGATTTCGGACCAAATTTATGGGCAAGTAGGTGTTCGGTTGTTTGAAGGCTCCCATTATTTTTGCAAAAAAATATCAGTTTGCTTTGACCAAAACCCTAAAAAATGGCTTTCTGTGTGAATTTTTATACAAAAGTCTATTTTTCGAGGAGAATTTCAAGAAATGTCGATTTTGGACCAAATTTATGGGCAAGTGGGTGTTCGGTTGTTTGAAGGCTCCCATTTTTTTTGCAAAAAAACATCAGTTTGCTTTGACCAAAACCCTAAAAATGGCTTTCTGTGTGATTTTTCATACAAAAGTATATTTTTCGAGGAAAATTTCAAGAAATGTCGATTTTGGACCAAATTTATGGGCAAGTAGTTGTTCGGTTGTTCACAGACTCCCATTATTTTTGCAAAAAAACATCAGTTTGCTTTGACCAAAATCCTGCAAAATGGTTTTTTAAGTGATTTTTCATATAAAAGTGTCATTTTTCAAGGTTTTTCAGGTCCTCAGTCGGAGGCTTATGGTACAAAATTGGTAAATCAGAATGGGCTCAAAATCAATCCGAAGCTTTGTCTCGACATGCAAAAACTTTTGGCTTTTACAGATCTCAATTATCTTGTCAACTTTTTGAGATAATCGGCGAACAAAAAACGCGGACGCGGACGCAGACGCAGACCCGGACGACGCCATACGAACATCGCTATTTTACACATTTTTCATAGTAAACAACGTATTTTTGGAGGCAGATAGGTCTTGATCGATGGGATTTGTTCCCATCTACATTGCCTAGTGTACAGATATGTGCTTTTTCAAGTTTGGCGTGACGTTATAGTGGTCCGAAAGAGGAGATGTCATGAAATTTTGGCTAGTAAAACCAATACTTTTCCATACAAACAAAGTTTGCGGAAAAGTAAAACCACTAAAAGTCGAATGACACGATATAGTCTTTGGAAGAAGAATGGGGAACAAAAAGAAGTAAGTACATTTTGATCGCATCAATGTTCGATTTGGACAAATAAAATGAAAAGTAGTTTTTCCAGTTTAACATTCATGTAAACCGAAATGCACCCATTTTGATGCATAAAAATGTAATTGAATAAGTTTTCAAGACATGATTTTACTTGACGCATTATCGAAATAAGATAGCATTCGTGGAATATTTTTTTGTACTGACCAACCTAACCTCAAAAATGTCTATTTGCTTCGTTTCAATTATTACATTTTGTTCATTCAGGCGAGCAGTAAGCGATGAGCACAGCTCCGACCTTCCAACCGATACGAATGACCTGAGAATATCCGTAAACCAAAATCAAACTCAGTCTTCGGATTCAATCGAAATCAAGCAAGAAGGTGAAATCAAGCAAGAGCCAGTGTCTGTCGACGAAGTGGTTGAAGTGTCGGCATTGACTTATCGCAATCTGCGATGTGTTCCTGGTTTCAATGAGCGTGACGTTGAATATGATTTGGATCACTTGGACGAGGTCGATGCTAAGGTCGAGGTGAAGAAAGAATTGGAAGGTAACAAAGAAGAAGACTCGAAAACAAATGCTGACTCAAGTGAAGAAGCTATCGACGGCAAGCAGAATCAGCAGCAGCCGCCGCCACAAGGTGACAACGATTACATAGTTCCAGAAAGTGATGCCAGTAGACGCGATACACAGAAACGAGGTGGCAACGCTCATGTAAATCTATCGAAGATTCTTTGACGAAGAAACAAAAATGCCACATTTGCGTCTATTCAACACAACGGAAATGTGATTTGAATCGCCATTTACTGAAACACACTGGCGATAGACCACATGGATGCGATTTCTGTCCGAAACGTTTTACAAGCAAACGAAATCTCCATGCCCACATGAAAGCTCACATCGAAGAGTTTCTGTTCCATTGCTCGGTTTGTTTGCAATGATTCGATGGAAAAAACGAAGAGGAAGCACACAAAGTCAAGTGCAACACTCGTCGCTACGAATGTCATTTCGTCACCTCGAACACAATCTCATTCGCTCATTAATTTGCACTCACACCAGCGCAGAGGCTATTCCATCGCTTCATTGCGAGCAAAGCAGAGCGACACATTCTTTTCTCTGCGGTCGTCGAAGGAGCCAACACGTACTAATGTTCTACTAATGCAAACGCAGCCATGTTGAATTGTGCATGAAAAAAGAATATTTCACAATAAGGATTCAAATATATTGTTCAAGTTTTCTTTAAATATTCGCTTTTGTTCAAGTGATTAGTACTTTTTGAACGTGTAAATCTAGTAACAATTGTTGGGAATATCAAAGTGGTGTGACAAAATGCGGAATGAAAAGAAGTGAGTAGTTTTCCACGACACATCGAAATGTCAACTCAAGACGATCGATGTATTATAGAAGGTTTTTTATGTAGAGTCGCGATTCATATTGGAAAATTATTATGAACAAAAATGATTCGCAACCAACTTTCTAAAATGTGATAAGAATAATAAATGAATGGAAATTTATTAAGCTTAATTTCAAAAAAATGTAATTTGTCTTCAGTTAAGACAACACTTGGCACTGAAAACCTTCTTTGGAAATGTATTTTGGTCTTTGGGATTTAATTTACAATTTTTGTCCATTTTCTAGGCGAGTATGCACTGAAGTTGCATTGCAACAAAGCCATCTCAATACGCCAGTCGGACCGGAGAATTCTGGAATAGCAATGGTGGGAACAAACAATCAGTTGGATCATTCAGTGGAAGTCAAGGAGGAACCACATATAAAAGTGGAGCCAGTCGGTGAATTGGTCGTTGTTCCTGCTTCATCACGCAATGATCGTCACATAGTTATCTCACTTGGTGTTGATCAAACGAGTGACAAATACGATTTTGATGATCTAGATTTCGACGATGTCAAATTCGAGGTGAAAGAAGAAGTCGACAAGAAGAAGGTGGCAGAGTCGAAATACACTGATCCAGGAAAAGGTACAGCAAGAAATCAACACGGTCCACAGAAGCTGCCGCATCAAGATGAGGACGATATGCTACCACAAGAGAGTGGTGGCCATGGTGTGACAAAGCCAAAAGAAGATGACAAAGTTGGCGATCCGAAAAATGTGTCGACGAAGAAGCACAAATGCGTTCAATGTGAGTATTCCACCGATCGCAAAGACCATTTCAATATACACTTGTTGAAACACACTGGCGAAAAGCCACACGGATGCGATTTCTGTTCGAAACGATTCACAAGAAAACAACATTTCCATGCCCACATGAAAGTGCACGTCGAAGAGTTTCTGTTCCATTGCTCGGGCTGTTTGCAAGGATTCGATGGGAAAAACGAAGAGGAAGCACATGAAGTCAAGTGCAAGACTCGTCGCTACGAATGTCATTTGTGCAATGAATCGTTTGGACCAATAAAGGGTAATATGATAAAGCACATGCGTGTACATAGCGGTAACAAACCATTCCAATGCAACGAATGCTTTAAGCGATTCGTACAAAAAAGTCATCTTAAGGAACACATGAAGGTTCATGGTGGTCCACGTTCATTCCGCTGTACCAGATGTCGTCTGGGGTTCGTTCGCCAAGATGAAAGAAATGCACATGAGGGGAAGTGTAATCGCTGTTTGAATGAATGCTATGTTTGTGGAAAGTCATTTGGTTTCAACAAATGCAATGTGATCAACCATATGCGCACACACTCTGGTGAAACGCCGTTCGAATGTCAACGTTGTCTGAAGCAATTTCAACGGAAAGGCAATCTAAACAAGCACATGGTATCTCATACGAAGAAGCTTCCATTCAAATGTTTGATTTGCCACCAAGGTTTTACGAAGAACAACAGAAGAATCGCTCATCAACGACTCTGCAATCGACGCTTTTATATGTGTCATTTGTGCCAGAAGCTGTTCCACTCATCCATTGACAACTTGAAACAGCACATGCATTTTCATACGGGTGACAAGTCATTCCAATGTGAACTATGCCACAATACATTCTCGTACAAATCCAGTTTGAAAAGACATATGAAGAACATTCATCACAACAAATACTAAACGAGGCGATTTGTTTGCAGTAAAAGTCAATTTGTCATCAAATCAAATTCAATTATCGTACGACAAAAAACAAATGAAACCGCTTGAACATTCCAAATCGCATGTTTGAAAAATAGCCTCAAATACTTGTTTTTCTATCATAAATCCATTTCATTATATATTCAAGAAAAATGAATTTGCTCTTCCAAGTCGAAAGTTTCGATCGAACAATTCTATTCAAAGCACACAAATGTAACATTTTGGCTTTAATAAAGAGTTTGTACAACGAACACGAATTTGTATTATTTTTTCACCGCTAGTGACATCTCGATGAGTTTGATCCGAAGCCTTGACACTTCATTCGCCCATTCGCTACACAGGAAGAGAGGACTCAGAGCCATTTCTAGCGGGGGTTCAAGTGGTTCAAAGAACCAGGGCGCACGAGCGCCAAAGGCGCTCGTGGGCGCTCCGACTTGAAAATTTTCTGAAAGTTGCGCGAGAGCGCCGAAGGCGCTCGAGCGCTTTTTTTATAAATTAAAAATTTTCAATGTTCT